TGGTTCCAGACATCGAATTGTGCGTGGTTGTCGATTTCGAGCAATATGACTTAAGGTGGTTCAAGGATTTCCTTGATAAGGGGTGGAAGGAGCAGCTCCAGGATTTCCTTGATAAGGAGTTCGTTGGCAGGCCAATATGGATGCGTGTTCTAACCTGAGTCGGCTTGGTTGGCTCCGAATTGTACTGTTGAGGGATGTGTTGATTCGATTGTTATTGAGCTTATTAGTAATATGGGGAGATCCATGAGTTACCTTTCTATGTTGTGAGATGTTATGATTTGTTGGTTATGGGCACATATGGTGCGGTTCTATTGGGGTTTCATAGTGGAAGTCGAGCAGGAAGAGTGATTGGGTGTTGCTCAGTGAATGGCGTATCGGTTATGTCCTTTCGGGTTAGTGTGGTGTATGTTATTTGCTTCATCGTAGGTATGATGATTTTCTTTGGTTCCAGACATCGAATTGTGCGTGGTTGTCGATTTCGAGCAATATGACTTAAGGTGGTTCATGTGGAGCAGTGTTGGATAGGATCTCAAATCGCAACGAAGTTATGTGGAGGTATGACCTTGCGGGTTAGATTCGTGTGTTTTGTTCCTATAATGTTAGACGGGTTCTCAGCCTTGTGTTGTGGTGGTACTGGTGAACCTGAGGTACAACTCTTTTATTTGAGCCATTTTCATGATTTGAGTATGTTCGGACTGTTGTGTATTGGTGCGTGTATTGTGCAAGTTGTGGCTTAGGCCTGTATGGATGTGTCATGTCACCAGAGGAATGTGTTGGATTAGAGGAGATCGTTGGGGATCATTAATAAATACGAATGGATGCGATTTCAGCATGTTGGAAGGATAGTATCAAGCTTCGGTTCAGAAATTTGATGTGGTATTTGCCAAGGATAAGTGGCTTCATGAATGGTTGATCTGGGAAATGGTTATGGCTTACCGCGTGTCTTATTGATCATTGGCAGTATATGAAAGTGTTGGGATGAGACTTTAGTTGATAAGAGTTTTTCTATCGGTATGCAGATGTTGTGTGCAGTTGTTGTGGTTAGAAGTTATCACTACAAGTGTGGAGTTATGTGGTATATCATGTGATTGTACCGGAGATAGTATATATGGTTTGTTACAGCTTGTTCGGATTTATTCATAGTATAAATGTGAGATTCTGATCGTGTTGATGATTTTAGAAGTGGAAATGTGGTTCTATGGTTTATGGACTAGGAAGGATTGTGAAATTTCAATTATATTGTGTTATCGAACCTATGTGAGATAGGGTGATGTGGGATCACCCCCGGGTATGTGCATGGTGAGGTTATTCAGCAATTGGTTGACTTTGGGAACAACTCTAGGCACGTTCGAGGACGAACGCATGTTTAAGTGGGGGAGGATGTAACGACCTGACCGGTCATTTTGAGCTTTTGCATTTTGCTCGCCAGTTCTCGAGCATGACTTGCCCCGTGTAATGAAATATGACTTATATAAATCGTTGGTTTTGGTTTTCAGGATAATCGGAATAAACTTGAAAGAACAGTTCCTAGTTTGAAGCTTGAGATTTGAAAGGGTTGACCAATATTTGACTTGTTTGTATATGATCTCGGATTGGAATCTTTATGATTTGGTTAGGTCCGTTAGGTGATTTGGGACTTAGGAGCGTGATCGGAATACATTTTGGAAGTCCGTGGAAGGTTTAGTCTTGAATTGGCGAAATTGAGATTTTGGCATTTTTCGGTGGATAGGTGAGATTTTGATATAGAGGTCGGAATTGCAGTAGCTTCGTTGTGTCATTTGGGATGTGTGTGTAAAATTTCAGGACATTCGGACGTGTTTTGGTTGGGTTTTTGATCTAAACCGTAATCTAAAAGATTTCGGGATTCTTAGGCTTGAATCCGATGCAAATTTGGCATTTTGATGTTGTTTGGTGTGTTTCGAAGTTTTGAACAAGTTTGAACGATGTCATGGGATGTGTTGGTACAATTGGTTTGAAGTTCCAGGGGTTCCGGGTAGGTTCTGGGATGTTTTAGGCCGAAAATCATAGCTGTAGCAGGTCCAGAAGGGTTGGAGGCCTCAGAACCCACCAGTGCGGTCCGCACAAAATGAAGTGCGGCCGCGGTGGGGAACATTTCACTGGTCCTATTTCGGAAGCTCATATCTTTTGATATACAAGGAATGTTGAGATGATTAAAAAACAAAAGTTGTAGCCCTTCGTGTCTAGTTTCAAGTAAGGTAAAGATATCGCAATTTGAACATCTGTAGCGAAGGTTATGGCCAAAATACTAAAGCCTTTCACTGCAGATGAAAACCTGTGCGGCCGCAGTCATTTTTGTGCGGACCGCGGTCGTTTTTGTGCAGTCCGCAAAGGTGGAAATCTGTGGGGTACTCTATAAATATGAGGTTTTGGGTTTTATTTAATATTTTGACCTAGAGAACTCGGATTTTGGCGATTTTTCGAAGGTTTTTCAAGAACATTGGGGTAAGTGATTCTAACTGAGATTAGGCTAGAATACATGAATTTATCATTGAATTCATCATTTAATTCGTGATTTGGGATGGAATTTGGGAAGAAAAGTTGTGGAATCTTCCAAAAATATAAAATGATAATTTGAAGGACCAAATGGTACCGGAATTGGATAATTTTGGTATGGTTAGACTTGTGAGGGTATGAAGATTCTGAAAATGTAAATTTTACCCGATTCCGAGACGTGGACCCGGGGCTCAGGTTTTGGTAATTTCGGGAATCGTGCCCTTTGTTGATTGTTTTTGCTTGGGCTTTATTCCCTTAGCATATTGTGACGTATTCGTTATGATTTTGGATAGATTCGACGCGTGTGAAGACCGATTCGAGGGGCAAAGGCATCGTGAGTTAGAGATTTAGGCGGTTCGAGGTGAGTAATGATTGTAAATGATGCTCTGAGGGTTTGAAACCCCGGATTTGCACATCGTAGTGCTATATTGAGGTGAGACACATGCTTGACGACGAGCGTGGGGTCGTGCGTTATTGGGAATTGTGACTTGGTCCGTCTCGATTGATGATTTTACCGCGTATTTGACTGAAACGTATTTGCTATCATCATGATTTGGGTTGATTGCCATATTTGGGCTTTGTGCCAACTATTTGAACCCTTCGGGGATTTTTATTACTATTTCCTCACTGTTTTGACTTATTACTTGAACTTAATCATGTTATTTTCCACTATTTTACTACTCAATTTTGAGACTTAAATGATATTTTGGGCTGAGAAATACTGTTTTACTATTGTCCGAGGGGCTTGTGATGATTTTTGGACTGAGTAAGGCCGAGGACCTAGTTGTGAGGATACATCGATACTGATATGAGGCCGAGGGTCTGAGATACATAAATATGTCACGAGGTGGCTTGATTGATATGAGGTCGAGGGCCTAGATTTGATGCCACGAGATGGCTTGATATTGCGCTTGGGCCGTAAAGGGCCCTCCCGGAGTTTGTACACCCCCAGTGAGCGCGGGTACCCATTGTGATGTGAGATTGAACCCGAGGGGCTGGTATTGTTCTGAGATTTGAGCCCGAGGGGCTGGTACCATTCTGAGATATTGCCCGATGGGTGGATTTGTTGATACTGTGCCCGAGGGGCAAATTTCTATTTGTTTACTTACCTGTCAATTACTTGTTTTACTTGTTGAGAAAGGGACTTTCACTTGAATTTTCACTGTTTTACTGTTTTAAGTGATTTTACTGCTTCAGTATGGAATGCCTTGTGTTTTACGTGATTTCTTACTTTCAGTCATTATTTATATTTGTTACTCACTGAATTCGAGTACTCACTTTACTCCCTGTACATTGTGTGCAGATTCAGGTATTTATACACCCGGTATCGGGTTTTGGTTGATCTGAGGCAGAGTCATCGGAGTTTAGCAAGGTAGACTTTTCTCTCTCTTCATTTCATTAGTCTGTATTTGTACACTTCAGACTTTCAGTTGTATTTATACCCTAGTAGATGCTCGTGACTTGTGAGACCCCGGTTAGGGCTGTGTCGGGTTGTATCTCTGCTACTTATTATCATTAAATCATGTTTAGACTATTTTTATGTTGATTAACTGCTTTAAAAGTTGAGTTGGATTGAACTGGCTGGCCTTGTCTTTACGAGAGGCGCCATCATGACCGGGGTCGGGGTTAGGGTCGTGACATCCTTATAATCCATTCTTACTTGGAAAATTCAATTGTCACATAAATGTGGAAATTTGTTCAGATATTAAAGCTGTTAAATATATTTTTAAATATATTTGCAAAGGACATGATAAAACTGTATTTCATATACACGACAATGGCGCACATGTTAAAGTAGATGAAATAAAAGAATATCAATCTGCTCGATGAGTATCACCACCTGAAGCTACATGGCGTTTATTTGGTTTCCCTATTAATGAAATGACACCAATTGTTTATCATTTGCAATTACATCTTGAAGGACAACAATTTGTTTCCTTTAGGAGTGCTTCAAGTGTAAACTCAATTATGAATAATCCTTTGGTTAGAAAAACAATGTTAACAAAATTTTTTGATATGAACAAAACAAATAAAGATGCAATAAAGCTCAATCTACTATATAAAGAATTTTCACAATATTTTGTATGGTCAGTACGATATAAAATGTGGACACGTCGAATAAAGGGTAATGTCATTGGATGTGTTGTAACATGTCATCCAACGAAAAGTGAAAGATATTATTTGAGATTATTATTAATGAATATAAGAGGATCAAAATCATATGGAGACCTATTAACTGTAAATGAAGTACGTTGCAATACATTTAGAGAATCTGCTCAAGAGGACTACTTCATTGTGACAATAATTTAGCTGAATGTATGGTAGAAGCTGAGAGTTATCAAATACCATACATCTTGAGACATTTGTTTGCTACATTATTAGTGTATTGTGATCCTGCTAATCCAAGAGAATTATGGGAGAAATTCGAGAACTCTGTGTGTGAAGACTTCAAAACTTTACCAGACATCGAAACAAAAAGTGTTCGATATAAAGTTTTAGACTGTCTCAATGACATCTTGCATTCAATGGGACATAACATTAATGAGCATAATTTATCCCTGAAAATTTCAAGGCTTCAAAGGCTGCCAAAAGCAAGAGAAATATTCTTTGAAAGAAACATAATCGTTACTGAAGAAGAGCTATTATTGCGACAAAAGTTGAACATGAATTACAGATAGCATACAATGTGATTATAGACAGAATATCTTCGAACAGAGCAGGAGTTTTTTTTGTTGACGGTCCGAAAGGAACAAGTAAAACTTTTTTATAGTGTGCCTTATTAGCTACCGTACGATCTAAAGGATTTATTGCTCTAGCAACAACAACCTCTAGAGTTGCGGCTTCGATTCTTCCAGGTGACCGTACAGCTCATTCGCGTTTTAAAATTCCCATTGACATTGATGAAAACTTTAGTTTCAATATTAGAAAACAAAGTTCGCTTGCCTGTTTGATTCGAGATGCAAAATTAATTGTATGGGATGAAGTATCAATGGCAAAAAAGAAAATAATTGAAACTTTTGATCTACTTTTGAAAGATCTCTTGAATAATAATGTGCTTTTTGGTGGTACAGTTGTTGTCTTTGGTGGTGATTTTAAACAAACTCTACCAGTAGTTCGAAACGGAAAAAAAAAAGATTTTATTCATGAGAGTTTATTATATTATGATATTTGGCCCCGACTTGAGAAATTGCAATTGTCAGAAAACATGCGTGCGAAAACTGATCCTGTCTTTTGTGAATATTTGATGAGAATAGGAAATGGAAAAGAACCTCTTAGTTCTGAAAACAAAATTGAAATTCCAAATTCATTTATTGTCCCTTATACTACTGAACAGGAATCTTTGAATGTATTATTTGAAATAACATTTCCTAATATGCATGATTTCTTCTGTGATGCATCTTCTATGACTTCTCGTGTTATTTTGACGAAAGATGATTTTGTGGATGAAATAAATGATATGCTTATAGGCAAATTTCCAAAAGAAGATAAAACATTTGTTGCAATTGATGAAATATGTGAATCGAATGATCAAAGTCAGTATGAAGATTTTTTGCATTCTTTAAATCCTGCTGGTTTACCTCCTTACAGATTAACTTTGAAAGAAAATTGTCCAATTATATTACTACGAAATTTGAATCCTTGTGAAGGTTTATGCAATGGCACAAGATTGACATGTTGTGATTTTAAAACACATGTTATAAGTGCAAAAATTGTAAGCGGTGACTTTAAAAATACACATGTGTTCATTCCGAGAATACCATTGATGTCATCACAGACTTTGTTTTGCTATGACTATAAATATAGCACAAGGTCAAACATTAGATTTTGTTGGAATATATTTACGAGAACAAGTGTTTTCACATGGTCAACTTTATGTTGCATTGTAGAGAGCAAAAGCTTCCAATTGTGTCAAGTTATTAATTCGACCCCCAAACCCAGATAGTGATGACGATCATTCTACATATAACATAAACATAGTTTATGATGAAATCATTCAAAAGGCTTCTTGTGAATCTTTCACACGTTACAGAGTTGGACATAATGTTTTAGCACAAGAATACAGATCTTGTTTGTGGCACATGTACTTCGGAATTCCCAAAATAAGGTCGACGCACACAGGTAAAGCATATTTAGCAGTTTCTACATATGATGATGAAATGTAACTTGCTGTTATACACAAGTTTTTCAAATAGACTATACATCGACGTTTTCTTCTCATATATGCATTGTTTTCAAACTGCATCCAATTAGGTTGCTTGGAGCAATGAGGTTGCTTCGTCAGAATTATTTTTCACTCTGTTGTTTGATTTTTGAATTTTACTATGAACTATTATCTTAAATATGTAATGTATAATATAAATTTCTTCTCCAAATTATAATTAAGCTTGCATTCATACTCACATTATGTATCATTTATCCACGTCCCAAAATCAAGTCTTACCATTCAATGTGATCAAATGCAAATAGCTCAACTTGAAGAAGCACGGAATTTCGTGTTTCTTTATACTTAAATGTGACTACGTTGACCTATCATTTTACATATAAAACTTGTAACAAGCAGATTACTCAAAATGTTATTTTCTTAGGGTCCTCATGATTGTGTTGGGAGTGAAAAAGCAAGTTGCTTTTATTGTTTGCTCTGGATAGCATCATAAAGGTACATCATGTTCCATTCTCTCTTAATTATAGCGTAGATTAATCAATTTAATAAGATCGCAAACGGTACAGTGTTATCTCCAAATATCTAATACATGACCTCTGATAATATTATTAACGAGTGGCTTTATATCATTTTGTGAGACATCTTTGTCAATGTAACTGAAAAAGGAAAAATTCTCCGTGCTTACAAGGTAAAGAATCATAACTCCAATTGGTGGAACAATAGAATTCTCTGTGAAAATATGAATTATTTTATCTCTGATGTCTAGATATGGTAGTTGACCATGTCCTGCTGTTATCTACTTTTGGACTACTGCTAGCACATTTTTCTCATTTACCAGTTATATTCTTCTGATGTATTTCTCCTCTTTGATCACTTCTGTTATGGCATTCGCACCATTCTTGATTTTTTCTATGTTTCAGCCCTCCTTTGAGTACCTCACAATGCCATCTTGACCATTATTGGATCTTGTTATGCTTTTGATTACTAATTTTATCTTTCTAAGTTTCTTCTTGGTAGAACATCAAAAGTTTACCCTGTTATCTGTTTCCTTAAGCAATCCTTATTTCAGTATTACATTTTTATCCTTTCATTATATCTTCATATGTCATCTTAGGCTTGGTGGTAATGCACAACATTTGTAGCTTATGCACTGATAAGTTTTTCATAATAAAACTCTCGAATGCATGTTATTCCAAGACCGAAAGGGAAAATTGAATTACTGTGATTATTTTGTTAAAGTTGTGTATTATTAATAAAGTCATTCATATATAGCTTGTCAATTTTCAGTTTTGATGGTATAGTTACTACTCTTTGCTAGAGCAGACTTTCACTGAATAACAATAAGGTTACGTTTTTCGTTGCTGGAGTAGTAGACTTGCTCAATAGCTGTCTTTTTCCATTCTTATATGAGGACAGTCGACACACGAAAGTTAATAAATCGTTAACACTGGAAGATAAACTTAGACGTCACTCGAGATGGTTGGCATGTCTTGTGTGAACCTCCAAATTGTATTGCTGAATTTCTCGGCTTTCTTATTTTCCTGCTTTTTGAAATAGTTGTTGCGTAGAAATTGTTTGAATTGGGTTGCCGCCGTTTTACTACAGCTTAAAATTTTCATTTTCTACCAGAAATAATCTCTGGAAATAAATTTAGTATTCGAATGTTGTGTTTACTAGCCATAGTTCAGCTAATAAGCTTCTTCATTATTGCCAATGATTCAATAGCAATTTCTGCAATGCAGAGGATGTGATGGTGTTTGTTTCTAAAGGTGTTTGAATATTTTTGTTTTTGAAATTCTTTACTTTATTAAAAAGATTTTAAGCTTTTACGATATTGAAATAAGATGCCATCTACCCCTCCCAACTGAAAAGACTAACTTTGTGAATTCCTTTTCAAATAGTTTGAGAGTTTTTTTTTCTTGACAAAGGTTTAAAAGAAATATGGTGTTAAATAGTACAGTGAAAAACAGGCTATAACTTATTAGGTTAAACTTACGGAGCTCTTATTCCCAGTTAATTTGCCTGACCAAAAATTCCTTGAAATTATATGTCTTTGCTCTTTATGCTTCGCTTATAGTTATAAGATAAGTTTTGGTTTCTTCTTTTCCTAATTTTCGGAATTTCTGCTGGCTAGAAATTATTCAAATTGGATAAATATTTGGTTGCAAATGTTTGTGAAATTATATACAATTTTATCTTCACTGGCCTTGCTACATAAGCTCTGTGAATTTCTTACTGTAAGAACCTTATGAATTTTAGGTTGGAGCAAATGGTTAACTGACTATTCATATTAGTATTTACCTTTAAGTTTTTCCTTAGTTTTTATTGTAGAAAAAAGTTAAAGAACATCTGAAAATTGTCCTACAAATGCCTATCAACAATTATATGTGACAAAAAGGATATTCATTTAGTAGTGGCTTCTCAATCATTTTTGACTAAAATACTGTATCCACTCTAGCTGTTTTTGTTATATGTTTTCATTTCTGTATTTTCTGTCCTGATTGAGGCTCATGGTATATTTTTTATTTTCTCCAACTTTTCTTACCATCAAGCTTTTTGGAACATTTTTACTCTTGAAATCAGTATAGGAAAGCGGATATTGAATGTATTGTTTATACTTGAAACTACATATTTTGAAGTCTTATTTTTCGCTCATACTGAATCTATTGTTTATACTATTAGGCCAAGAGACACAACCCAAGTTCAATGAAGCTCGCGTAAAAACTTTGGCATCTGCGACTACTTTTGGTAACTAGAGTCGTAGAGTAGTAGTTATGCTTCTGCTTAAACCATATTTTAACACAGTTGTTCGCTGCAGTACAATATCTCACATCTTGTGTAGATAACTATGCAGTAACATGAATGTTGGAAAAACTTGTTTCACTTACAAGCATGTTGTGGCATATTGTATATAGTTTCTACCATCTCCTGCGAGAAAGACGCATGACGTTCCATTACTATTTTATCAGGTGTGGAATTGCTTCCCATGTTGCTCCTTTTTACGGTTAGTATAGACATAACTTGAAGAATAGGAAATATTAGTAATTAGCAAAGAAGATATTGACTAAGTCACTTCTTACATGTTATCATATTAGGCTGCTTCCTTCCAGAAACAAAGAAGAAGAGGCTCCCAAATTGGCTAGCTCATACTTCGTGTCTGGGATTAATTGAAATTGGTATACATTTTTGCTACTCATAGATCTCACTTATTGAGGGAATAAGGTGATTCTTGAACTGCGTCATGTCACATTTGAACTCTACAGTTATCTAAAGTTCTTTTTTGAATGATATCTGCTCACTGTCCTGTTTTCTCCTTTCTGTGCTACAATGCAGTTCCTTTTATGCCTTTGATCTACCATTATATAGAAAAATCTTAATCTACTAATGGTGAAGCTATTGTTACTATTTTATTAAATCACGACATGTTAATGCAGCTATCGTCTAACCTAATATATCCGAATGTGATGTAGGTGCTACTTTCTACTTTTCACAGTCTGATAATTTGTATTATGCATATGTACTAATACTTATTCAACTTTTGCATTTTCCAGATCAGCTTATTGTCTCGAGTGTAAGGCAAAAAGATTAAGAGCATGAAAACTATTAGGGACAGACACCCACATTGTATATATTTTTTATTTGTTTCATTTTAGTTTGGCTTTTGATGGATTTTATTCAAATTTGAATGTGACTACAAGTAGCCATCAAAGTCATAATTCTATCGTCATAGACAAAACTAACACAGCATAACTATATGCAAAGGTGCGTCACATTTGAAAATAATGTTAAAATAACACTTAATATTTTTTGGGCCCGGGCTAACCTAGTTATCATATAAGCTGTAACAGTGTCTGACAATCAAATTTTTATACATTATTCAAGGTATAAGATAGATTCAACATTTGTGATCATGTTTTTTTCCTCTACAATTTTTTACTTTAACAATCAAAGTTCTCAAACAATTTTGAATAATAGATACACATTTCTCCTTCCAATCTCAAAACTTTAAGCTCAGATTGTTATCAAGTATCAACCTTT